ACATGCTTTACTTATATTTAAAGTATTTATTTAAATTAATTTACAATATATCTGTTATGTGATAACAATATAAACGTTTCAACTAAAAAATATTAATATTAAAGTCATATTAAAGCAGATTTGAAAGGATCATTTTGTTATCGTATAACAGATATAACATATAAACACTTTAAATCCGTGAATTCAATGCTTAGGTCGGGCCGTAAACTTCCAGTTATAATTGGTGTCGTCCTGACCCGGTGTAGGCATATCGCACCAGATATAACCATCTGAATTATAATCACTGTTTGGGTGCGAGGAGCCGTTAGCTAGGTTATTTACATAACAGTAAAAGAATAATTAGAATTTAATATAACCTAATTTGTTTAATAAATATTTACATTCGGGACAGTCCTTATTATAAAACCTGTAGTACCCGCTAACCGGGGCAGTAGATACGTGTACGACGTGTACGGCACCGACACCATGAATCATACGATAGTAGGAAGGTGTGGGTGTGGTGAGAAAGGTGAAGTTATGCCACCATGTGTCATTCTTGGGATCGGGTGGACCATTGACAGCACCGGCGTTTGGACCCCATATCAGATAACGGCTGGTCTTTTGGTTTTGTAGCGAATAATCCGTATATGTCTTAATCGGAAGCTTTTTATTAGTGTTGATATCAATGATGCCAACCTTTTGTAGGGCTATGGGAACGGGAGGTCAGGTTAAGAAAGCGACAAATTTATTTATCTAATAAAACTATACCTTGCTCGCTAGTATAGAATAAAATAAATAGTAATGATGCACTTGTTGTGAATATAAAGCATATGTTAAACATTTTTAGTCTTAAAGTCCTAAAGTAAATGAATATATAAAAATTATTTCTAATTAATTTAACCGTTCATATCATGTCTTTAAATACTTATTATAATATATAATACATGTGATATACATATGCACTGTATAAGCATAAAGTATATTTTGTCTTATGATTATTTTGTATTAATTAGGTACGGTACATTGGTTAATTGAATTAATTTAGTTTAGTGCATTATTAGTGCACAATGTTGATTTTTTTTAGAAAAATACAAAACCTGCATGTCAACTCTGCTATAGTATGATTCGTGTTATGCTAAACAATTTAGTTACAGAATTATAAAAACAGCGGTAATAGTATTGGTTTTGTATATTTCTAAAAAACTATAAAAGCTTTCGTGACAATTTTATTTACAAAATCTGTACTTAATATACTTTAACATGTATGATAATCAGTTTAATTAAATGCAGTCATCTATAAGAATTTTCCAGAATTTTTGGTATAGTACTACATTGTACGGTACATTGTATCAAGGACACAAGGTGTGTGTGAATAAGTAATTTAAGGCATATTGATATCAATTATTTACATATTTCACAATTAATTAATTCATAAAAAAGGGTACAATACTAACCTCGGTACAATACTACAATTACTTGTTAAATAAAATATACTACTTTATTTATAATCACGAGTTTAAATACAATTTACAATAGACACTGTATTTATTATGTATTACTAGTATAAGGTTTTTCACTGAACTTCCAATGAAACTCCTGGTGATCGCCCTCGGTTTTAGGCTCCAGGCAACTTATATTGCCAAACTCATCCGAGTCACTATTTGGATTATCGCCGTTATCTAATATTGTGTAAATAAAACATGATTATTAAATAAAATAACATTTTATGCATACTTACAGCAATTTTTATTATAGATCTGATAGTAGCCGTCCTCATGAGCTTTGGATAGTTTTACGATATGACTACCGAAATAGTGGTTCATTTTATACCAGTGCTCCGTCTGATTGGCAATGAGGGTGAATGTGTGCCAAAAGCGACCTTGCTTACTATCGGGTGCGTCGCTAACTGTGCCATTCTTGCCAAACCATATCAAGTACTTCTGGGTCTTGTGGTTCTGTATCGAGTAATAGGTATTGGATTTTATGGGCAACTCTTCGCCCGTGTTTTTGTCGACCAGACTCACGGACTTGACTGTCGAGAAAATATTAAGCAAGGTATATGATACAGGCATTAATAATAATTATGATTTTGTATGGATTTCGAAATTACCTTGCCCCTTAATCCGATGGGTTAGTGAAAGTAGTATTAATACTTGTGCACATATTAATATAGTATATTTAGACATTATTATTTTGTATTAATGTTTTACAATTATTCTGTAGAGAGTAGTTGCAAAATCAACGTAAAAGTGTTTAAATACTGTAGTCACTTGATATTTATTCAGATCATCATTTTGTAAAATAATAAAATGTAATTATCATTATATTTAAAACAATTGAATTTTTGGCACTAACCTGTGAATGAACCTCTAATTAATGAACTGTAGTATTATTTATTCACATTTTGATATATAATATTACATTACATAAAAAAAAGTAATTTACAATCATTATAACATAGAATATATGTTATTAAGAATTATAAATTATTATTCAGATAATAGTTTATTTAAAAAATAAAATTTAGTTGGTTTTTGTTTAATTCTATGTTTTATGAGCAATTAAAATACTGTTTACTAGTATTAATAAGTATTTTAAATATTTTAACTTCATGTAAAACATAAAAACATTTAAATAGTTTCTATTGATTATTGATTGGATTTAATAATAAAAATATAAATTATCTATATATTAAATTATTTAAAATAATCACAGTATTGCTCCAACAATATATTGTAATGTAACAAAATTTATTTAATTCTAGTTTTATGGTGACAATAAATTTTGCAAAATATTATTTTATTTTATATTTATTAACAGAATATAAGCTTGTTCGCGTAGGAATTATTTTATTGGTATAGAAATTTATTTATTTTGTAATTATCATAGGTTTTTTCAAAAGTATAAAAATCTTAATTATATAAAGCAAAATCATTATCCAATTAGCCATAGTTGTAATAACGACTCGTAGTAGTCGTAGTAAGGCTACCTTTTAGCATGAACCTCCAGTGAAACTCCCTATAATCTGTATGAGCTGGTAGCAAACATTTTATATTACCATGGTCATCCAGGTCACCTATGGGATTATCACCATTGCCTATTTCAGAAAAATATTAACAATTAACAAAATAAATATACAAATATATTTTTAAAAAGCATGTACTGACCACAATCCCTATCATAAATGAGATAATATCCATGTACCGGTGCTTTCGTCACTTTCACCACATGGCTTCCGAAATGGTGACTCATTTTATACCAGTGCTCCGACTGGTCGGCTATTTGACTGAATATGTGGTAGTATTTGGCTGTCCGTTGACTTTGATGCCAACCCTCGGCTATAGTACCGTTCCGTCCGAACCAAATGAGAAACTTTGATGTCTTTTGGTTTTGCACCGAATAATAGCGATTCGTCTCAATCGGCAACTCTTCCCCAGTATTCTTGTCGATTAGGGATACGGCAGTCGCTGTCCATTAAAATTAAATATGAGTTCCCATTATTTATAAATTATAATAATATAATATATTATACCCTGTTTCAATACATTTGATACTGAGATAATAAATATAAGTTTAAGCATGCATAAGTGATATACATTCATTTTGATATGTTTTTAGTGATAGCCTAATACGGGTATAAAATTATTGTTAATGAAATGTATCTTATAATTTAGATTTACTTTTATATAAACTTAATATTTGATTACGGAATGTGAAATAATTATATGCTATAAATAGACAGGTAAATAAATTTGTGTAATTATTATTGATATTAAATAGACAATATACTATCAATAGCTTATTGTGAGTTTGATGATCTTAACAAATTACATTGAGATTAAATAAGTTACATAATAATTACTTAATTTTTGTTATTGTTTTAAAATTCTAAATATAAGATGCATTTAACTGAACTGATTCAACGCAAATAAAATTGTCACGAAATACATAATAAATAATTACATAAAAATAAACTATATAATGATCCTAATTACACTTTTCAAAACAATACAAATAATATAAACTAATTTACGATTTTTCGATCTTAATGTACCAAAATATAAACTCTAATTAATAGCAACAGGTATTAAAACTGTTACACCTAGAAAAATAATAAATTATTTAATTTGATCAACCGCAACATGTTTAACTTATATGTTATGCTTACAACAAGTGCATTATTATTTGTTATTTTATTTTATTCAACCGAGCAAGGTACACATTCATAAAAATAATTTTCAAATTAAGTAGTTTAACATTTATTATATTTAAACTAACCTTCCGTTCGGATAGGCCTACAAAAGGATGGCATCATTGATATCAACACTAATAAAAAGCTTCCGATTAAGACATTAACGGATTATTCGCTACAAAACCAAAAGACGGGCCGTTATCTGATATGGGGTCCAAACGCCGGTGCTGTCAATGGTCCACCCGATCCCAAGAATAACACGTGGTATCATAACTTCACATTTCTCACGTCACCCACACCTTCCTACTATCGTATGATTCATGGTGTCGGTGCCGTACATGTTGTACACGTGTCCACTGCCCCCGTTAGCGGGTACTACAGGTTTTATAATAAGGATTGTCCTGAAGGTAAGAGTTATTAATAAAAAATGAATTAATGTTATAATTATAGTTAATATCAATTTGATTGAACCTAGCTAATGGCTCGTCGCACCCGAATAGTGATTATAATTCAGATGGTTATATCTGGTGCGATATGCCTACACCGGGTCAGGACGACACCAATTATAACTGGAAGTTTACGGCCCGACCCAAAAAATAAATTATTGCTTTTAAATTTTGATCCATATTCTCAACAATAATGTAATTCAATAAAACTATAAATCATTAAACAAACGCTCTCTCTCTCTCCTCTCCCTCTCTCTCTCCCCTCTCTCTCTCCTCTCCCTCTCTCTCTCCCTCCT